GTAAATAAATACACAGCACATATTTAACTTAATTAGTAATCATAAATATTCAAAAATACATCAAAAATACATCAGGAAATGTTTATTGACTGTCCAAATATGTCTGTCACTGTAAGAAATCCTGGTAATATAAAATCAGATATGACATGATAGACACTCACGAGAAGGTTAACAGGCTTTGCTTTTATTATCCAACAATTACAATTTACTATTTATTCTTCTTAAACTGTTGTTTATATTTATCCACTTCCTTCCTTTCTTAGAGTTGTTATAGAGAACAAAACCACTCAGTCCTTGATATAAGTTTAGGAGGATTTATTAAGTAAAAATTTTTTTAAAAGGTACATTTTTATGTGGAGAGATACCAGTTCATATAAGTGAAAAACTGATGGCTCCAGTGAGAGAGTTTCTAACAAGACTAGATATAGTTTAAGAAACAAAGAAATTATAATACAATTATTTGATTGGTTAGTTTTTGTTTGAGGTCACAAGAAGGGTGGGTTAGGAGGTAGGGAATAGGCTTTTATTGAATAATTGTGTACAGAGGCTTATAGTAATTGATTTCAGGGGCTAATTACAGAGGTTTTCAATCATAGTTACCTATGCTTTAGGAGGGACACAAACACATCACTGGTTGTTGTTAAGCAGCTCTAACCAGATGTCTCAGGGAGTTGTGATAACCATTCAGTACTAGTACCTTATCTTCCAGAAACAACTGGTTAAAACAAAACCCCTTTAAAGTTGTCTGGGAAACTTTAGTTAAGGCTAGCTCCAAATCCCTTTCAAAATAATTTTAATTACATCCTTTTCATAAAGAAACATTTCTTGGCCAACTTTACACAAAAAGACACCTATGGCAATATTCCCCTCTTTAGAGTGAATTTCTTTTACATCCTGGTTTGATCCAGAGAGAAACACTCCTTCAGTTCTCATGGCTACTAGCAATTAAGGAGCCAGATAGCAGGCGCTTGTGAAAAGTAACCCTGCTGAGAGAAGCTGGGCAAATAAAGAGTCCTAGGCAGGCATATTAAAAAAAAAAGAAAGACCAGATTAATTCATCAAAAAACTGCACTTAATTCATTCATCAAGTCTTGGTCTTAAAAAAGGCCTCATGAACTTCTCCTTTACAGAGACTTCTCTAGTTTCAGCTTTTACCACCTAATATTTGAATTATTGCAGTTAGTCTCCTTGCTTCTAGCCTCTCCTTCCAGTTAATTGTCAAATCAGTTTTCCAAAAGAATCATATTACAGTTGGCCCTTCAGAACCCTGGATACAGCATACGCGGATTCAAGCAACTACATATTGAAAATATTCAAAAGAAAAAAAGAAAGTGCCAAGAAATAAAATTTGAATTTGCCATGTGCTGAGCACTATGCTGAATCCACATGAATGAAATGATGTGTAGGCATACCCTACTGTAACCTCCCACCATTTCATAGATCCTTAGTCTCACTCCAGCACTCATTGTTTGAGCATTGTTGGCCTCATGTCTTGTTTGTTTGCTATTTTTGTTGTGTGCACCCTTTCTTTCTGTGAAAAAATGGCTCCCAAAAAGCAATTTAGTGGTCAAAGCAATCCCTCTAAGTCCAATAGAGAAAGTAAATTGCTGTCTCTTTTGATGAGAAAATAAAAATCTTAGATCTCTTTTTTTTTTTTAATTGTATTTATTTTGTTGTTGTTGACGATATACAGGGCAGAACATACACCAATTCAACAGTTTCTACATGTACAAGTAAGTGACATTGATTACATTTTTCAAGTTGGGCAAACATTCTTACCCTCCTTTTCTGCGTTGTTTCTCCTCCATTAACATAAACTCACTGCCCCCTAAGGCTCCTATCTAATCTTTCAAGTTGCTGCTGTCAACTTGGTACCGATATAAATACAGATAGTTCTTAAAGGAGCACAAGGCTCAAGGCAGACATTTTCAAATAGTTAAGATAAACTATTGTTTAGTTTTAAGAAGACTTCAGGGAATATTTCTGGTTTAAGATTTAAAGACAGGGCAGAATTCTTAAATCATTCTTAAACAAGGAAAAACTAGATTGGTGAGATTCACAAGGTAAGTGAGAGAGTTACAGGAAAAAACATTAATCAAATGAATAGGTTCTTTAGAGAAAAATCAGATTAATGATCATAAATATTAACTATGTTTTACACTAAAATATGGATTGACCAGCTTGCTCATGGAATCAGATACTCTTGTTAAATTAATTTTCTGGCTAATGGGAGATGGAAATTTAGCTAGAAAAACCTTCCTGCACAAATATCTTTCTAAAATGGATTAGTATACTTTCCACCTTAATTTATTATTAAGTATTCATTGCTTTGCTTGGTTCCTGAGGACAGAAAATAACAATTTAGAAAAGACCAAAGTAAATTTAAGAGGCTGCTTCCAAACAAGCAAACCAAACTCATTGCCCTCAAGTGGATCCTGACTCATAAGGACAGATTAGAACTGCCTCATAGATTTTCCAAGTAGCAGCTGCTGGATTTGCACTGCTGACCTTTTGGTTAGCAGCCCAGCTCTTAACCACTTCACCATCAGAGGCAGCTCACAGGTCCCTAAACCAAGAGGCTCACTGAATAGTCTTAGCAAACAGGTGGGAGGACAGAAATGAATTATAACAGAATGCTGCTGGGGAGGTGATGTTCTTTCCACTTGTTAATTGCTTTGCTGATAGGCCAATGCTGCTTAGAAAGGGAAGTAACACTTCAGGGGAAAACCAGACTCCAGACATGAAAGAGCCTTCTCAGAAGCCCAAGAATCAGCAGCTTTAGTGAGAAACTTGCATATGGTCCCATTGGCTCCCAGTGGGAGAAACAAGTAGAAGATTCCACCCAACAAAGGACCTGAGATTAACGTATTTGGCTTAATTTTATCTAATAACCACCTATTCTTGAATCTTGCTATAAAATTTCTTTCTTTTTTTCCTCTGCTTACTCTCGCTCTTTTTTTTTTTTTTTTTTGTGCTTTAGGTGAAAGTTTACAGAGCAAATTAGTTTTTCATTAAACAATTAATACACATATTGTTTTGTGACATTGGTTGCCAACCCCATGATGTGTCAATGCTCCTCCCTTCTTGACCTCTGGTTCCCCATTTCAATTTGTCCAGCTTTCCTGTCCTTTCCTGCCTTCTTGTCTTTGCTTTTGGGCTGGTGTGCCCATTTAGTCTCTTATACATGGTTGAACTATGTGTTATTGTTTATTTGATAGGCCTGTCTTATCTTTGGCTGAAGGGTTGACTTCAGGAGGGTGTCCGGAAAAATCTTAGATATTTTGAAAAGTAGCATGTCGTTTCCTGCAGTGGGCCGTAAGGTTGTTAAGAAAGAATTGAGCATTCATACAATAAAGCTAAAGAAGGTGAAATTTGTGTAAGTGTTAGTGGAATTGCTGTCCCTACAATGTCAAAAATGGTCTCACGGGTTCTTGATAAAGTGCTTGCAAAGACTGAAAAGTATTACTAAGTGTAAGCATTAACAAGTATTTACAAAGCATTTACAATGTTTTAGGTATTATAAGTAACCTAGAGATGATTTAAAGTATACTGGAGGATGTGTGTAGGTTTTGTGTAAATACTACGCCATTTTAAATAAGGGACTTGAGTATCCTAAGATTTTGATACCCAAGGTGGTTCTGGAACCAATCCCCTGCAGATACCAAGTGACAACTGCACTCTGCTACCAAGAAGATATCAATGTTTGATGCCTCTAAGATAAATTCAGAATTGGTAATGTGGCTTTAACGTTCTCAGTAAACAGATCCACTTTAATCCTTATTTTCCACACTCACCAGCTGCTTTCACCAATAGCTCTGCCAGGTTTCTACACCCATCCTTCACCTCCCTCATTTCCTACCACCATTGTCACACTCATTTCCATAAACACTGACTCTGCTCATGCTTTTATTCCTATTTTTCCATCATATCCACTTTTTTTCCACCCTTTAAACATCTCGTTTCTAATGCTATTTAATGACTAAATACCCTTGACTACACCAATCTCCATTTTCTGCATTCCCAAGTACATGCTATACCCAATACAACCTAAAATTCCTTGTGTATAATCTACATTGTTTTTTTCCCTGATACGTGTATGTCCAATTTCCTTAGAAGATTTTAAACATGTGGAGATTAACTGTGTCTCAAGTTTCTCTGAAAGGAGCTGTAAAAGATAGCAGGGAAAGGGCATCATAGATTCAAATCCTAACTCCGCTTGCATGCCTACATGAACTTGGGCTAACTACTTAATATTTCAAAGTCTGAGTTTTTTACTCTGAAAAGTATGAAAAATAATGCCTAAATAATTGAAAGGTTATATGTTTCAAATGTGTAGATTTGTGTCTAGCTGAGAGTGGGTCTCATTAAACCACCTTTCCTTATATATTTGCACATTTAAGTGAGCGATAAATTTTTTTCATTGTTATTGTTTAGGTTTTTAGGATTTTCACTATTTTCTGCCTCATTTTTGCTGAACAGCATCTTCAGCTTTCTGTTAATGCTCATAATATACCAATAATTTACATTGGAATTGGTGCAGCTTAGTGATATTCCTAATAACAAACAAGAGAAGTAATGCTATCTTGGGGAAAAACCCTTGAATTAATTGATATATTCAGGAATCGTACTATCATGCATCATAGACAACTATCAAACTATGCAAAAACATTCAAATCCATATGGATTTCAACATAAATAGCAATATTTTCAACTAAAGATTGATAAATTACCATTATACAAACACTCTATTTCAGAGCTTGACAGGAAAAATGACTCACACTAAAGATGTTCTTGATTTGAGAATACATATTCTGTATAAATCCATATTCAAACACAGTCTCTTGAACACCTCAAAGAAAGTTGAGACTAGAATTCAAGCGCACAGGTTACTTCTGATAGATGGTGTGGCTAAGTCATTAATATAAGAGAAGTTGAAATGCGTGAAGCTTGTTAAGACTATGCTTAGGGATTCCCTTAATTTGCCAACAATGCTAAATGGAGGCTACCTTTATATACCGGATTTTATTCCTAGGATTTGTTGGATATGTAGAAAATTGTAGCTAATTCCACTCTGACACAATTTGTGACCTTAGGAATAGTCAATTAATTCCCTCCTAAGAGATCCTAGTAGTTTAGATTTTGAAATAGATTTTAGCAGAGTTCCTCCTTCCTGTACTTATTTAGCCATTTACACATGATTTGACTTAAAAGTCATCGTGTCTTAGTGATTTAATATGTGATATACAAAGTGATCATTTTCCATTTTCCCAATATCCTTCACTTTGAAAAAAGTTTATCTAATTAAAATCAATTTGTCACAAGGGATCTTTGTTTCAGAATGTTCTGAGGTTTTCTCTTCTTCATAATTCTTTTCATAATATTTATCACTTCCTTATTTCTTAGACTATAGATAAAAGGGTTTAGTAAAGGAATTACTAGAGTATAAAAAATTGCAACTGGTATATCTTTATCCCCTTCTTTAAATGAATTTGGCCGAATGTACATGAAGAGAAGAGAACCATAGAATATTGAGACAGAGAGAAAATGAGATGCACAAGTAGATAAAGCTTTGCCTCTTCCCTCTTTGGATTTAATTCTGAAAATTGTGAAAAGGATGCAAAAATAAGAGATTAGGACTGTTGTAATACTGAAAATTTGAACTGACCCTGAAAAGATAAGTATCATCAGTTCGTTGATATAAGGGTCAACACAGGAAAATCTGTATAATGGAAGAACATCACAAAAAAAGTGATTGATTTGATGAGATCCACAAAAGGTTAACCTTAATAGAAGTACTACATGAATCATGGAATGCAGGTTCCCAGCTATGTAGGCCCCTATGGTCATCTGAATGCAGAATTTCTTTGACATCACGGTGTGGTACTGCAGTGGACTACATATTGCCACATAGCGATCATAGGCCATTGTTGCCAGGAGAAAGCAGTCCGCAGTTTCAGCGAGACAGAGGAAATAAAATTGTGCCATGCATTCATAGAGGGAAATCATTCTGTCCTCAGAAAAGAAGTTCTCTAACATCTTGGGTATGATGGCACAGGAACAGCAGGAATCCATCAGAGCCAGGTTGCCCAGAAAGATGTACATTGGTATATGGAGGCAGTGCTCCATGAAAATCAATGCCAGCAAGCCAAGATTCCCCACCATTGTGATCAGATAAATAGCAAAGAACACCACAAACAGAAGGGTCTTCATTTCTGGGTGATCTGAAAATCCTATGAGGATAAACTCAGTTGTCCAGGAGTGATTTTCCTGGGTCATCTCTACTTTCTCTGTTGAGACAGAAATTTTGGGGAGATTAGATTCTAATTCAGAGTGTGTCTAATTGTCCATTTGAATTTCTCTTGGACAACAGGGAGTATAGCCACTCCCTCAGGCCTCCCCTGCTGTCTCTGAAATACAGGCATGCATACTTCTAGGGAACATTAGTTCTCCAAGTGTCATCTTGTATGACGTCAAGTGCTGAAGCTCAAGATTCACAAGAATATTTTGATAATTCCAGGGAAATGCTTGCAGTGAAAAGATCTGTGTTTATGAAGTTACACAAAGATGGTGAACAAATACATGGTACCCTAGAGTTAGTGTTCTCAAATATTTCAATGTCAGTTTTTGTATTGACAATCCTTAAATTGTACTTAAAATCCATTTTCCTATATATATATTTTTTTCACTGAGCAATTGTTTTTTATATACTATCCTAGTGTAGTGAATATTGAAAAATAGCATACTATAGGTGTGTTAAATGTATAATTTAAAAAGTACACTAAGTTTCCTAAGCATAAAGGAGGGAACTAATTAAAGAAAATTACCTTGGAAAGGTAGGGAAATAAAATTTCATCGATTTCCTTAATAAGTTAATTGGTGTATATTAACTTCATATTTTTATTAACTCATTCTGCTATGATGGAGCAAATTTTCTTAGACTCGTTACAAATAAAATATTAATATCTTCCTTCCTTATCTTAATACTTTCCATTTCTAACCTGAAAGGTCTCCTGTTGTTCTAATATTTTGAGATTTGATGATCATACTCTAATAATTGTGATCATATTATGAAATTTAATAAATATCCTTTATGTATCTTTTCCAGTCTGTTCCATAGAGACCTCTACCATTTATCAGACAGAAGCTCCCCATTGTTTGATAACTTTCTTATGGTCACATTCTCCAGATCATTTTCAGATCTACTTATCTTTGCTGCAGTTCAATGGTCATCACTTCCTGATATTGCCAGAAGCAACACTCTGCTGCCAGGAGGACTCCAATATTTGTTGTCTCTAAGATAAATTCTAATTCTTTAGGATGGCATATAAGGTTTTCTGTAACTGATTCACCTCCATCCTAATTTCTCACATTCACCAAAAGCTCTTCTAGCTTTCTCACTCTGTCTACCCATTGTTCAATTCCCTCATCCTCCACCCCTAGTACCATACTCACTCATTTCCATAAACACTGACTCTGCCCATGCTATTATTTCTTACAAATCATTATCCCAAACATAGACATTTGACACTTTGAACAAACATCTATATCTTTTCAATCCTTTCCTTAAGGCATAGTTACATATAATGGTACTTTTACTAAAGTTTTAACTGAAAAACACAGACCACGCTGATCTCCGTTTTCTGAGTCCTTAAGCATATGTTATATACCCAACATAATCTAGAATTTCTCTTGTTTAATCTATGTTGCTTTTATTATACATGTATGCACAATTTGTTTGTTAGATAGTAAGCATTTGTAGATTAACTGTGACTTACACTTTTGTGAAGGGAGCTGTAAAATAGTCTGGTAAAAAGCAGAATTAATTCAAATCTCAGCTCTACCCTGATCACCTGGGACAAGTGAGCTTGTTTTCAATATCTTATTAATGATGCTAAGTGACCACTGTGGCCTCTGCAAACTGAGACTACTAACTTTGAAGAAGAGCCTACAAAGGAACTTATTCAAAATTCTTTATTCGAAAAAATTTAGGCATCTATTACTTGAATTGACTTTTTAAAAATTGTTGTAAACGAAGAAAGGTCATGCAAGCCCCATAGACACATCCAAACTCCCTGAGGGACTGAATGGCTGGGCGGAGGGCTGTGGGGACTGTGGTGGTCTCAGGAAACATCTAGCTCAATTGGCATGACACAGCTTATAAAGACAATGCTCTACATTCTAGCTTGGTGAGTAGTGTCTGGGGTCTTAAAAGCCTGTGAG